GGCAAGTGAAGAGAGCACAAAGTGTGCCTTTCTCTCTAGAATAGCTGATAAGTTCCTTTATGGGATAAGGTACTCTGCACAGAGGCAAGGAAAAGGACTTCCTTAGACCTTCTCCATGACAGTTCTTTTCAAAATGCCCCTCTTCTCACTCTTCAGAAAGTCAGATTAACCCAAATAACTCTGCTTGAATGGGAGCATCTGCATCCATTTCTTATTTTATCCATAGAAAAAGAAGACATTATTATCTTGAAACAAGAGTAACACAAAAGAATAAGGAATATAGATGATTTTAAAGCCAAAATACAACACTCAGGTTGCTTACACCATATAGATGCTAACAAAATATACTCAATTGCTGCAACTTTTAACAGACCCATGCAGGACTACATGCAGAGATATGAACTGGAACTAACACCACAGCTCTTACTTTGACCATATAATTAACATACTTTTAGCAATGACCATGATCCAGTCACAAAAATAAATAGGAGAGGTGCTGCTTCAGAGAGTCATGCAGTGTAAGGACTGTGAAGGTAACAAAAAGGCCAAGGGCCCTCACACATGGCTCTCACAGCCCACTTCCACAGAAATCAGGATGAAAAGTTTATCATGTGTTCTTACTTCTGTGAACTAAACTAACCAAATAATGACATTGTAAAGACATTCTTACTATGTGTGGTAACAAAATCTGTTCTCCTGCTTCTACAGTTCCCCATGGAACTGAGGAACAGATACTGATAATATTATTTATGTCAAAAAGTGAGAAGCTTCATGAGACTTCTCTTGAAATAACAGAGTATTATACTCATGGTGTGCCATCCTATTCAAGGGAAACAAGACCTTAAATATTTATTTCTTCTGTAGTTAAAAAGAAGGAACTTTTTTGGGAATAGTTAAGTACAATTGCTTTTATGATGGGAAACATAGTGTTTATTCAAGAACACAGGTGTTTACAGTTTTGAAACGTACGTATTGCTTTATAAGGTTAGAGAAAATGTGAAAGCCCCTTCAGTAATTTATACCTAACTGGAAATTATTGAAAAGTACATGTTGAAATTGTAACAGAAATAGATTAATCCAACAAATCACAGAAATACAATAATTTAAATAATGAAAGAAATAAAAGAAAGACTTCTTTCAGGCATGATCTCCATTTAAACTATATATTCAGTTTTCTTCATAGCATTAATAACTATCACTTTTGAGCCCTCAGCTACTAGATAGAAAGTGAAATGCAGGGACAGCTTAACTGGATCAACTAAACTAGTTCAAGTAGTAGCAGTCTAGCTGTAACAGCAGGGAGATTTCACAGAATAAATGAATTGCAGCAACAATCAGAATACTTTCACCATAATTCCACTCAAAATGAAGAAATCTCAGGCACCTCCACACAACACAAATCACCTCTTTCTGTGCCTTAAGATGCAAGAGGTAAGTGAAGGGACTGGATCCCTGCAGCACACAGGCAGCAGAATTGGAACAAAACAGTGGGTAGGGTATTTCCCTCATTTGGAGGACACACACATTGATTTGGGGGTTAAAACTAGAGTCTGCTTAGGAGCACCCAATTTCTTACCTTTACAAAAATGTAAATCTCAAAATCTTCCTGGAAGTTGTTAGTTTCTCCAGAGTTATTGTTAAGGGGAAACTTCAGAGAAGTTGAAGAGTTGGAAAAAGTGCTCTGCCTCAGATGCGACTGGAAATCCGGAGGAAAATGAAGGTTGCTCTCAAGCATCATGACCTCTACATGTTTCTCTTCCAGACCTGGGCTCATCAGATCCATCTGCTGGTATGGGTGGTCTTCTCCAGCACCATAGTGAGATGAAGAATCATCTTCTCCAGCACCATGGTGAAATGAAGAATCATCTTCTCCATCATCTCCATGCTGAGAGGCCACAGAATTACTACAGCTATCTTCTGAGTTCTCTTGACTACCATTCATGTTCTCTGGGATATTAGCAATGGAAGAAGGAGATGCTGAATCTTTATGGACATGATAATAAAGATGACCCCCTTTGTCTTCCTCAGAGTCTGAGACCTCACAGACACTGGTGTCATTAACATTTTCACTGATGTTGGTAAAGGCTGGATCTTCCATGACTGCTGGCTGGTGAGATTTGCCTGCCTGCTGGTACCTTAAAAGACTACAATTAAAGTGAGATGTTGACAGACAAGCTCTCCTCAGGAGGAAGCAGAGTCTGTGGTGTGCTTTCTAAATGCTCTGCTATACATGGCAGAGCTCCAACAATCATTTACTGAGAGCTTTGAATCAAGTAAAAGATAGGGCTGTCTCACTTTTAACCCCTTTGTTGATCTGACTGCTGGGAATGGTATCTCAGGAGCTGTAATCAGTTGTTCTTCACAGTGGTTACTTACAACATCATCAACAAATGATGATCATTTATAAAAACTACAAATAAAAAAAATATAAATTGGTAAATTTTAACTCTTTCCAGCTTTGCCACTGACTCACTTTGGGGACCACACACTTCACATTTAGCAATTTCCTCGTCTCATCTATAAACCAGGGCCAAAACTCTAAAAAGTCTTGGAGCTGCCCTGCAATGTAGGAAAAGAAAACACTGAATAAGTATTAGCTATTATTAAATACACTTAATGTATTGATTAATTATAATCACATTTACATTATGTATCTCCATGTCATAACAAACTTTAGCAATCTAATTTGCCTCCTTGTCTATGCAGTTCCTTTTCTCTAGAGAGACACACTACACTGCACAGAATCTAAAGGGGATGAATACTGCCAGCATCAGCGTAAAATGAACTGCCCTCCTAGGAGAGATACACATTCCAGAGAAACTGAATTCAATGGAGCTGAAACTCCTCAAAGATCCAAACCTGAATTTATCAAATTATTATAAAGTTATCCATTTATTAAAGTCATGAGAACTTCAGACCTTACTGACTAAAGGCTTTTTATCTCAATGTTTACTACATCTGGATTATGTAGATTATGACAAGAATTCTTATAATCTAATTATATTTAACCTTTTGGGTTTAAGCCAAAAGGAAAAATAAAGGTATTTTCCTCCTGACTCATCCATGTAACTTTCTGAGAGATAACTGCCACAGCCAGGTTGGATTTCTTAAAGAAACATAGAGGAGAGGTGAGAGAAAAAGATGGTAATTCCATCCACCCCAAACAGAGCAACCAAGGGAAGACGTGCTGTTTCACACAGTAGAGTAGCAGGTGCTGCCTGCCTGGGATTTATGGTTGTTAACAAGTTTACTCTTATACTGAACAGTTTAGATTACTACTAAAATTAAACATCAAAAGCAAACCAATATTTCATCTTATTAAACTTGGATCCACCTTCTAAGGCTCCTCGGTAACCTGAAAAGTGCCAGGATCATAGTAACAACCAAATTTAATCACAATGATTGTACAGCACAAGATGCAGGTAAGTATCAGAGAACAGTGAGATCTCTTAGTCACGGATGCATTTCTGGCCCGATGTAACTCAAGAACTTCAAGGATATCTTGAAGGTCTAATTTCAATTATTCCTACCTACAAATTCCTGCCTGGCACAAGTGGTCCATCAGCAAACAGGACAAAACACATCTACTTTTTACATTTTGTGTATGTAACTCAGACACAATTCTTCACATCGAAATCCTAAATCAGAGATTCTGAAATGTGTTGTGTAATCTGTATTGTAAAATTCTTGCATTCAAGATCAGGCTAGAGATAAGACTGATTTAAAATCAAGAGCCTAAATCACTAAAGTTCAAGAAACTTGGGAAAACAAATGAGCCAACTAGATAACTTCACTTTTTTCAATGAATTTTTTTTACATTTTTAAGAAAACACTTGGATTTCTTCATTTTTTGTAGAAGGACAAACGTATTTCTACCTGTGACTGTTCAACTTGCTCTGAGCATGACCTTGATCAGCAACTCCCACTGATCTTCAACCTCTTTTTACTTGCAGGATTAAATACGCTGGGATCATAAAAACTCACTCCTTAGTAACTCTGCTGGTAAAAAGCTTGAGGAAGAAAAGAGAACACAGAAATATTCATGGCACTAAACAAAGTTGTGTTAAATTAAACTACTGGGGTTTTTTCCCCTTCACGAAGATGACATTTGCAGGATGCAGCAGCACCTGCTGGAGGGTTTAAAATATCACAAGTAAACCAATGAATAAGAGTGTAACATGAGTATTATTTAAAAATAAATAAATACAGTTGATGTGGATTTCTTTATCGTGAATTACCCAAGTCCTTCTTTCCTCTGGCCCACTCCAAGACCAAAAAAAAAAATATCAGCCAGCTCCAAGATCCCGATGTCACTCTTGTGACAGAGTGATAAGGCCCCAGGGGAAACCTGACCACACTTAAGAATTTACCCAGATGAAAATCAGGTGCATTTCTCATCACATTACATGAACCCTCCGCTGGTTTACAGCCCTTACTTTTCATTTTCAGGGAAGATGGAACAGTTTTTGCATTACAATTCAAAAGTTATGGGATAACAAACAAGATCCAAGCTGAGGCTCCCACACCATGACCTGGGACAGTGGTGTCCTGACCTGCTCCCCTGTGTCCAGTGCTGCTCCCTCCCTATTCCCCAGCCAAAAATGCTCTGCTCCAGCAAAGGAACTGAATAGAGGTGCTGTGTGCACATGTGCTCAGTGCAATGGGACTTCTGTCCTGCACAGAGGTGAGAGGGAAGAGGTGGTATGAGGCAGGAGAGCAGGAAAAGATCTCAGCATAACTAAACAAAGCAGAGATCACTAATTTCATCCATTTGCTAAATTCCTCTGCTCCCAAATCGAGAAGGCATTGACTTAATGTGGAAGTTAGTAATAGCAACACTTCGTGGTGTTAGTTCTGCAATCCAGGTCCCGCATGAGCCATTGGTAACACTGGTTACTGGCTTTGCAGAAACATGAAGAACCACAAAAACCACAAGCAGCAAAATTCATACAGGGACAAAGAACATGAACAACAGAACTCCTCGTTTTCAAGGTTTATTTTTTACTTTATGACTGAATTTCCATTTTTACTCTAACCTCTATCTTTTTAAAGCAAGACATCCCAGAGCTGACATGACTACAACTCCAGTTAGCATACATAAGACACAAGTTACAGTTCTGTTAGTGTCCAGTACCTAGAGTAGGCAAATCACTGATTCTTTCTACAGTCCAATGGACAGCAATGGGTACCTCAAAGTATGTGATAAAAAGAGATGGAAATAATTACATCCAAAGGAAATTAAGTATACTCTGGAGATGGTCTTTATTACTGCAAAACCCAGTCATCAGTGGTCCCTTAAACAGATATGTCTGTTTAGGCAGCAAAGTTGGGACTCATCTACATTTAGAAGCCCACAAATGGACATCAAAACTCACGCTAGGAATGTAGACAACTGCCAGGTTCACTCTGCAGAGAAACACAGAGATCAGTTCAGCAGCTCAAACACACACAGACATTTATTGGTATTTAAGTTGTTCACTTAGACAACTTGATTTTATCTGAAGGACAGCAGATACAGTCAGGGCCCTGGCACGTTGGGAAGAGCATGTTAAAATGAGACCACTGAAGCTACTACTGAAACTTTATCTTTTCACCCTGTCACCCTGACAGAAATCAGCATCCCCACCTGGACTTATTTTAAAACGACAAGCAGAAGAAATTCCTGCATTGCTAAAGTCAGTTAGCCCTCACCTCCAGAGTGGAAGAGAAGGGTGGAAAGAAGGAAAAGTAACAAGAATGTCAGACCCCTAAACAGCAATCCTCACATCTGCTCGGAGATTAATAATTTGAGGTAAAAAGCCACATGACACTATTTAATACAGATTCTTAAGCCTTTTACCTGGGTAGACCTCTATTAAAGCAAATAACTTGAATGTCTTCCAGACATTCCACAATCCTAGAAACTTCAACTCATCCATCAGTGACACAAGTAGCTTCAGTAGTTCACAGCCCTGTTTAGAAACAGCAACATGTTTCTATTGGAATTTCTCAGATCATTTCCAGTTGCTATGATTTTAGTGCTTTAGTTAAAAGAGTCCCTCAGTTTTATTTGTCCTCCATGAAGATACTTGCACACTTTAAGCAAAGAGCCTGTAAATCTTTCTTCATAACCTAAACAAATTGGGGTCCTTCATTTGCTTGCTCTAAAGTGTCTTTTGCCAGCCAGAAGAGATGCAAAAAAAAAAAAGGAATAGTTAAAACACTCAGAGTTCTTGGAAACAGCCGAACCTGAAAATGAATGATGGTCAACAAATTTTACTGTCCCTCAGAAACTGAGGGATCTTGGCATCCCATAGGATCGGACCCTTCAATTTCACTTAAGGGCACTCAGTGCAAACATCATGAATGTTCCTGGCCATTCAGGATGCTGATTTTACAAAAAAACCCAACTTTTTTTCTTTGTAAAGCTCAAAAATTGCCAAAGCTTTGCAACATGTAGTTCAAGGACATTATCGAAACTACACTGTGGGCTCTGGGAGACAGACTGGTCATGGTTTACAGATTTACTACAAGGGGCTTGCAATAAAATCACACCACTTTGTTTTCACTCCTGGCTGCACTCAATACCTGGATGAAATCAACTGCAAACAAACTTTCTTGCATCATTTCCAGCCTCAGCTTTTACTTGTTTTGTTAGCACCACCTCATCTCTCCACAGTTCATCAACAGTAATGCTTTATTCACTGACAATGTTGCACTAAACAGCATGAGAATAATACCTTTATCCCACATTTTATACCTTTATTTGTATTCTATTTGTGATGTAGCAAGGAAAACAAAACACACAGAAGAACCATTTCAGAAGAAGGTGGTTTAGTAGATGTTGGTCATGACACTGTTTCACACAGGAGTCAACACATCCTTGAAGCAGGACTCCAGAAATCCATTTATGGCTCAGCTAACAGTGACCTAGATTCTGCTTGAGGGGCTGGTTCACGAATCCGGGACCCCACTGCAGTAATGCTGATTTACCTTCACCCAGATTTTCCTTTGCTGCTGACTGCATAAAAGACACATTTAAAGCAAACACATCTGTAAATTTGATTCTGTAAGACAGACACTTCTCCACTAGACAAACAATAGGAAACTACTTTGCACAGAACACGCAAATCTCATGTTATTGACAGCTTTTTGGTTGCCAACAGACATTTGAAAACCTGCTGTACCTGCTGCGGGGCCTAAACAATTATTCCCAACTTGGATGTTTCACAGCCCTTTATTTGTGGTCTTCCAGTTCCTTTTATAAAACTTTACTTGGTTTGGTCTCCAACCCCATGGTTGGAAACTCCATTAGAATACCTGAGAGCCTATGCAATACTTTTTATTTGCCCAACTGCTCCAAGCAAAACATTTTTGTTCACCTTTAAAATCTGGCATCATTTCAACACCCTTGTTTGCCTCTGAAACCAACCCATCAGAAGCCCAGCAACCCAGCTTCAAGCCTGTTAGCAGTGGAGGCTCTGGTAACCAAAATAAAGAAGGCAGAGGCAGCAGAGTCCCCTGTATCAGCCTGTCATGCAGCCCTAGGGATCTCCTTCCACACAGTTTGAGAAACGTCAAGGTTAAGAGCCCTGTTGGGTTTATAGCCTCCATACACAAGCAATGCTTTGGATTAAACAGGCACTAAAAGCTTAGTGTCTAATAAAGTTTAACAGCTGTAAGTCACCCAGCCCTTTTATGGTCTCATTAAACCTCTATTTTTTGTATCTCAGTTATATAAAGATGCATCAAAACATGCTAAATGACAGATTACAAAACCACTGAGCAAAAATGGTCACAGAGATTTCTGTCACATGGATAAAATTGAGAACGAAATTGGAAATACAGGAAATATTTCTTGTTTGATGTTAAGTAGTGAAAATGCCCTGCTTTTTCTTAAGAAACCACTTAAGACAAGTATCTGAACTATTTACATGCAACATCAAGTTTTAATAGAATCATAGAATCACAGAATGGTTTGGGTTGAAAGGGACCTTAAAGATCATCCTGTTCCAACCCCCCTGCCATGGGCAGGGACACCTTCCACTAGACCAGGTTGCTCAGAGCCCCATCCCACCTGGCCTTGAACACCTCCAGGGATGGGGCAGCCACAGCTTGTCTGGACAACCTGTGCCAGTGCCTCACCAATCTCACAGTAAAGAATTTTTTCCTAATTCATAATATAAACCTACTCTCAGTTTGAAGCCATTCTCTCTTGTCCTGTTGCTACATGCTTCTGTAAGTAGTGTCTTTCCACCTTTCTTGTAGGCTCCCTTCAGGTACTTGAAGGCTGCAACTAGGTCACTACAAAGCCTTTTCTTTTCCAGGCTGACAATCCCAATTAAATTAATCCAAATTTAAACTCAATTTTAATTCATTCAAATAAATTTGCAGTTGCTTCTCCTTCACAATACTGCCAACAGGAGGGTGTAGTTTTCCATCTAGAAATGAAATGCTTATTAAACCTACCAAACACAGAATATTTTGAGTTTGCCTACGCTTTAGTTCCTGGCATTCACTAAATTCCACTGACACAAACAAATGCATGCAATGGTTTTTGAGCTGCATGTGCTCAATTATACTCCAGCAAAAAATCTGTACAGCTTCTGGCAGCATTTAGGACAGTCTAATGCTTAGATCTGCAGGCAAATGTGGGGTGAAATATAATGTAGAAAGAGATCAAGGTGATGAAAGGCAAACATCTTGGTAGTTCCCAGTTTTACTTCTTTTAATATAAGTATAGACATAACTCACCCACGTCTTGTAGGCAAACATTGTAAATGGAACGAAGAGTTGTATTAAATACATGAGTAGATACATACTGGCTAGCCCAGTTCAGAGTCCAGAGTTGGTATGTTATGCTGCCTGCATGATGTGTCAAATTGGACACATCACGTTAGGCTGGGCTCATGAATATGTGAATTCTGCAAATAGGTTTCAAAGCATCTGAGCAGGTGTAAACACGAGATTACTCATGCCTTCTGGACTGAATAGCTGAGTATGTTGCCAAACTAGGTTGGCAAAAGAGCCTCGATGCTTAAAATTTCTCTGAATCTGTGCACAAAGTTTGTAACAAGAACTCAATCGTAACTTGATGAAATTGGCGAAAAGATTGCACCTGTTATGAATTCCCTTGAGCTCTAGTTCACTCTGTGTAATAAATATTTTTAAGGCAATACAACAAAGTAATTCATAAAGAACACGTCTCTCCTCCACATGATCAACTGTCACATGCATATGCAGAAAGCTGAATTAGTGTAACAAAAAGGGAAAAAAATCTGAAAGACCTTGACTTGAACCTGACACATAACACGTGAATAGATGCAAGAAGTCTTATCTTGCTCACCTGGAGTTGGTTTTTTCCCTCTTTCACACTCTTGTGCTTTGCCACACCTACTACATTCCATAAATCAAGGTGAATCAGAGGCGTGTCACTTTATTCAGCCTATTGTACCCCATCTTTAGAACCACTTCACAGCTGGAACAGGCAGGTAGCACAACCTGCCTAACTGATACATATGTGAAAGCCATTAGAGAGAAGTCTATATGGTATTCAGAATAAACCTGTCAGCAGGATAAACAGAATGAAATTCAGATCTACTTCAGTCAATCATGAAGCTATAGGCATGTCGTTTTCTCAGTTTTTAGGATGAAATTTAAAATAGAGTGATTATTTGTGCTCTGTGCTATTAAAGGATGTTTTACATAGAGCTGATCTCATTGTTACTCAGCACCAGTAACTTAACAGGTTTTGCAGAATTACTAATCTGTCCTCATAATAAAAAGGAAAACCATAGGAATGTAAATTATTTGCCTTAATTTATGAAGCAAACTTACACCAGGAACCAAAAGAGACCTCAACCCATTGTAACCACACACTGCTTTTCCAGAAGCTGCGGTGGCACTCAGAGTATATTCAACAACACATTCACCATTTCCTGCCTGTATTCTGAGTTTTAGGGTAAACCAGTTTTTTCACAGGAGGCCACAAAAAGGTCATATGCGTGTAAGAATATGAACAGGCAACTTTCAGAGCTGTGCAACCAAAAGGGAGACAGAGTCACGGAGAAGACATGCTGACAATCACCACTGCCTCACAAAGGTGACAGCCTGGGGCTGCTGTGACTCCTGCAAAGGAGGCGGGAGACAGGTTATAGGCGTGCTGGGAAAACACAGGAACTTCCAGGGCCACGTCCCATCACCTCCTCGCCTCGCCCCACAGTGTCCTTCAGCCATGGGGCAGCCAGGAATCACCCTGTACCCCAAGTGACCCTCACTCCAGCCTGTACAACATGCCCCTCATAAAATCTCGAGCTCCCCTGCAACCCATCACATCTCCCAACTTGTGACAGCTGCATTCCATAGCCCTGCTCCCCTCAGCTCTGCTCCTGTCATCCTGGGTTGTATCAGGAATAGTGTGACCAGCAGGACTAGGGAAGTGATTGTCCCCCTGGGCACTGGTGATGCACCTCGAGTGCTGTGTTCAGTTCTGGGCCCCTCAATTCAGGAAGGACATTGAGGTCCTGGAGCATGTCCACACAAGGGCAATGGAGCTGGGGAAGGGACTGAAGCACAAGTGTGAGGAACAGCTGAGGGAGTTGAGGACGCTCAGCCTGGAAGAGGCTCAGGGAGACCTTCTCGCTCTCTACAACTCCCTGAAAGGAGGATGTAACCAGGTGCGAGTCAGTTTCTTTTCCCAAGTAGCAAGCGACAGGACAAGAGGAAAGAGCCTCAAGTTTTTCCAGGGGAGGTTTAGATTGGATATTAGGAAAAAATTTCTTTACAAAAACGGTCGTCAGGCTTTGGAACGGGCTGCCCAGGGAGGTAGTGGAGTCACTATCGCTGGAGGTGTTTATGGGAAGACTGGACGTTGCACTTAGTGCCATGGTGTAGTTGACAGGGTGGTGACCAGTCAATGGTTGGACTAGATTATCTCAGACGCCTTTTCCAACCGAATTAATTCCGCGAAACTGGAAATCCGCCCCCCTTCCTTCCCATGACCGCCCCCCCCATGACCCCCCTCGGCGCCCGTCCCTCACTTCCCGCTCCCCCACCCGCCGTGCCTCCCCGCGCCCCGCCCACCGCGCCGGAGCCAATCAGATCTCCCGCCAGCGGGTTCGCAGCCAATCGCAGCGGGCGGAGGCCGCGCGCACTGACGAGCGCTCGCGCCCCCCCCCCCCAAGGGCCGCCAGTGTCGGTTGGGGCCGCGGGCGCGGCGGGTGCGCAGGCGCTCCATCCCCCCTACCCCCCCTTACCCCCCCCCGTCCCGCTCCACCTCAGCCGCCCCGGTCACCTCCGGCGCCGCCTCCGCGTATCCGGCCCGAGCGGAGCCGGAGCGGGACGTCACGGTGGGGACCGGGCGGGTACGGGGGCGTCCCGCGTCGGGAGGCTGTGGGGACGGTGAGCCCGGTCGGAGCGCAGTCGCGGGTGTGGGGGGAGCCGTCCCAGAGCGCCCGTCGGGTCGGCGGTGCCGGGTGTCTGCGCTCCGCAGGCGGGACAGCTCCGTCCTGACCGAGCTGCGCAACTCCCCAGCGCGGCCGGGAGGTGCGGGGGCTCGGGAGCAGGTGGCACTGGCGCTGGCGGAGTTCCACAGCTGGGTTGTTGTGCTGCTTCTGCCTGGGATAGAGTTAATTTTTAGTTAAACCGCGACGTTTTTGTATAAAAAACGCAAGTGCTGAGCAGCTTTGGTGCATTTCGGAGCGAACGCTGTGTTTTTGCGTTTTAGTGCGCTATGGAAAACTCTGGTTCTGCTTTTTAAAGCACCTGACAACATCAAAGGGGTGATTCGCTGCTTCGTTGCTATTTTCTTGTCTCCTTTTTATTTTTTTCTTTAAAGGGGCTCCTGCTCCAAGTGCTCTGTACTAGGAGGTGCCTTAACGCTGCTTTTGCCGATCATTTCTTCAAACTTCTGTATCTTCTAAAGAAATTTTAACTGTTGGAGGCAGGAGGAATGATTTCCCGTGCTTTGAATCCCCTTCACGGCTAAAGCTATAGCTAACATTAAAGCTCCTTATACCTTTAAAAGAATACAGTTGTGGTTTTAAGGAGTTTTAAGGGAAAAGTTAGTGTTACTACAAACTGGGAAAACAGCTGCTGCTCCTTTAATCACCCACTTTGTGCAAAAGAGATAAAGGAGACCCTTGCTGGAGCAAGTGGGGCTCTTCTCGAGAAATAAATACACTAACAGCATTGCAGAAGGTTTTTTGAAACCTGGAGCTTCCTCTTTCTTAAAGACTGAGAGAATCATTCTGGACCTTCCTGAACAGTGCTCCAGGCACACGTAATAAGTTTAGGGGGAAAAAAAAGCTTACTAATCATACCTTGCATTCATAATAGTCATGAATTCCTTGGTGAGAAATACTTGTTTCACAGCTAAGGTTACTGATGATTTTTTAAATTTTTTTAAGAGAGAAAAATATGATACATAAAAGCCAGGTTTAAATACTGTTATGGTAGGTGTACAGGAGCTTAGAATGAAAGAAGGAGTAGAAGTTAATCCTGGCAGTTCTGTGTATAGAATAAGCATTGACTTAATAGGACTGTTGAAAGGCTCAGAAGTCTTCCAGCAGCTTGAGATGGTGGAAACTGTAAAAGGAAAGGCAGGATGAAAAAGAGAAGTTATAATTACAGTAGGAAACAGAATTCTGGTCTGAGCAGGGATGTGTAATAAGAATTTAGAGCTGCAGAGGACTCTTAAATGTGGGGCTGGAATTGTTCAGGAGCATGTGGCTTGAATATGAGGAAAAATACTGATTGTCTGTCTTGGGATGTAGAATTGTAATAAGACACACAGAACAATGGAATAACTACTCAAAAGAGAAAATAATTCTTCCTTTCATTTAGTCTATAATGAAAAAAATCTTATTGCTCATTTGTTTTAATATATGAAAAACTATGACAGTGTGAGAAACCTCTGAAGTCAGTAGGGAAATCCATGGTTGCCTTGAGTGGTTATTTAGACTGATTATTTTGGAGTTACCCTCTAAAAGGAAGATGTACATAATGTATAGCTAGTTAAACTGGTTCCAGTACAAGTATTTTGGTTACATGTCTTATCTTTTTAAATTTTTCAGGTGCATCTGATTACCTGCTGGAGGTACTTTGAAGCCTCAACAATGAGCTCAATGTTAATGTTACTTTTTGCTGGAATACTTGCCTGTTGTGCTTGCTCAGCTGGTGATTCCAGGTTACTCCTCGTGTCCTTTGATGGCTTCAGGGCTGATTACTTGGAAACCTATAAGCTTCCTCATCTTCAGGAGTTCATTGAGGATGGTGTGCTTGTAAAACAAGTCATGAATTCTTTTATCACCAAAACTTTCCCAAACCATTACACCATAGTAACGGGTTTATACGAGGAAAGCCATGGCATTGTGGCTAATGACATGTATGATGCAGATGCCAAGAAAAAGTTTTCCCAGTTCAATGATTCAGATCCCTTCTGGTGGGATGAGGCAGTTCCAATTTGGGTAACAAACCAACAGCAGGGAAAGGGAGCAAGTGCTGCTGCCATGTGGCCTGGTACCGATGTAAAAATTAACGATACGACCCCTCAGTTCTTTATGAAGTACAACTTCTCAGTGAAGTTTGAGGAGAGAGTGGAGAAGCTTGTTGCGTGGCTGAACAGCTCCAACCCAGTGGTCAGTTTTGCTGTGTTATACTGGGAAGAACCGGATGCAAGTGGGCACAAGTACGGCCCAGACGACACCCAGAACATGCGCAGAGTGTTGGAAGAAGTGGATAAACGGATTGGTTTCCTTATGAATCAACTGAAGGCATCAGGTTTGTGGGACACTATTAATATCATCATAACAAGTGATCATGGAATGGCCTCCTGCTCTGCAAAGAAGCTGATTATCCTGGACGAGTGCATTGGGCGCAACAACTACACTCTGATAGACAAGACTCCGGTTGCTGCAGTGCTGCCAAGGCAGAGTATGTTTTGTTTGGCTGTTTTTTAATTCACACACTGAGAATTAGATCTTGTTTATCTTACCTCTAAAAAGTATACACTATGGTAGACTGTTCACATCTTTTGCAAAACCAGTGGAGTTCGTATTGCAGCACTTGGGCATTATGAATAAGATGAAAGATGTCAGTTTATTTAGAAATCACTTTGTTTTGGTAATTGGTGGGCCAATGAGAGTTTCTTGTCAAATTACTATGGGTTATCATCATAAGGATGATCCTGGTACATCTAGTTGAGAAATTAGATCGGCACATTTGCTCTCTTGTTGCTCACTTAGTCTATGCAGTTGTAATTCAAGGTGAGCATGAAATAAACCCACATGTTAAGTCAGAATAAAAAAATGTAAATTTCAAAGTGAAAATCTAAACCCAACTTTGATCATTTTCCCAGTTCTGTTTCTGAGAGTGAAACTTCAGGTTTCATGCTGTAAATTCAATTTTTGTATCTCGGAGTAGTTCCCAACAGGCATGTCTAAAGTCATGGCTCTGCTGGCCTCAGTTTCTACAGCTGTGGCCAGACTAATGAACAGAGTGATTCATACAGTAAAAAAAAAAATTAATATTTACTTCATTGGATAAGATATTGACTACTAGGAGAGGTGACTGTTTTCTCTTGATTTCTCTGCTTGAATATTGCCCTGCCAGCCCAAAGGGTAAGTTGAATAGTAGGTCCAAAGCCACAGCTGTGATGTGTCTGATTTAAAATTAAAGCAGATAGTAAAATCCACCCTGACATATGTTGCTTTCGTGAGGGACATGAAAAAATCGTTTTCTATGTGTCTTTTAAAATATTATTGTTTTGAAATAATGGATCTTAGGTTTAATGACAGATAATTGTAATAAACAGGAGTTAATGTCCAGGTGTTTCACATGCAGTTTCTTTTCTTGGCAGACAAAGAAGATGTGTATAACTTACTGAAAAATTGCAATAGTCACATGAAAGTGTATCTCAAAGAAGAAATTCCAGACAGATTTCATTATAGTCATAACAAGAGAATCCAACCCATAATTCTGGTTGCAGACGAAGGCTGGACAATTGTACAGAACGAGTCACTTTCCAAGTGTAAGTGTGTTTTCCTCTTTGGTGCTCTCTGTGGTTTATGTTGGTAAACTGCTTTGTTTCTATTCCAGCCAGCTGCAAGATGGTTCTCCTTTAGCAAGTGGAGTTCTGGCACTGTGCACATTTAGGAACAGCTCAGTGTCTTCTAGAACATTCTCAGCCTGAGCCTGGAGTGTTTTAAGAGATGGGGATATTCTCTTGGCTGAAACACTTTGTCATGTTCAATTTAACTCTTAAAACTGTACTTCAGGCTATTATCTTAGGCAGGTTAGTCTGTCTCAAGCTTTCCCTAGAGTGTGGTTTAACTTTTTATTGTATGTAAAATACATATATATAGGGGTGCATAAATTGAGGCATGCAAGATGCAACATTTAATGTTGCAGTACTAGGAAACAAAAATGAATGGTAGGAAGTACAACAAATAATAGGAAC